CCGGTTCCCCCCGGTGACCCCCGGCCGCCTGCCGCAGGCAGGGTTGCCCTCGTACACCAGCGCGCTGTCCGCCAGCACTTCCTCAGCCTCGTAGCTGCTGATCCCCGACTCCGTGGCCACAGGGCACAGCTCCTGGTTGCACCACCTGCAGGGAGAATGCCAACCGTCTGCCCGAGCCCCGTACACAGCTGGCGCCGGTTTCAGTCGAGGTCTGCCCAGTTCAGATCCCTCTCCTAGCTGCTAGAACGGAGATTCCCGGTGGCAGGGAGAAGCCACAATGCTGACAGCAACCAACCCAGAATGCTGCCATCTCCATCTGTGACAATAACAATGCTTGGGTCTCGGTGCGGCAGAGGGCCAGATTGCTCAGGGAGGTGGAGCAGAGCCTGCTGTGCTACAAGAGAAATCATCTGAAGCGGTCAGGGCGAGAGGAGGCGCGCACTTACTTTCGAGCAGCGGAGATGTCTGCGGAGGAGGCGTCAGGCCGAGCTGCATGCTCAATTAAGAGAGCTCCTGTGGAAGAGTAGGAGACATCGGTATCCCCGGGCTGCGGCCAAAACAGCAAGGGCTTGTGAAAAGTGGGTGGTGGCTACTTCCCAACAGCGCTGGCCGGGCTGAGCTCCCCTCAGTCCAAAAGAACCCAGCTTTCTTTAAAACTCCACCCTTCACCCGGAAGGTGTGAAACCAGGCCCTTCCCGGACTTATTCCCAGCCCTTCCCTGGCCTGAAAACCATCGTTTCCATCTTTCCCACTACCTGCATAGATCCTTGCTAGGGAGTAGGAGAAGTCTCTCGCCGCCAGCTCCATGGCCACCACCCCCTTCGAACCAGCTGCTTGTGTGAACTGCGCAAGACTGCCGATGGCATCCCGCATTCGCTTCATGGCACGTTCCAGTTTCATGGCGCTTGAAGCCAGCTCCAGTTTTTTCTGCAAAGAAAACGATCATGGGAAGAATTAACAGCGTATTCACCTTCTGCAAGGAAACGGGGCTGGTGAAATCCCGAGCGTGCCCAGCAGCTACTAACAAAAAGCTTAAATGGAGGTGGCTGGAACTCGTGCTGCCGTAGGCGGAGTGGCCAGAGCACTGCACGGCAGCAGGAAAGGGGACGTTGCCAAAAGGAAATGCAGGCAGCTTTGCCTCCAGGATGGAGAATTCCCATAAGCCAGACCCAGTGTGTTGCTGTTTCCATGCTGGCTTTCCAGCTACACCTGGGGGTCAGATCACATCCCCAATTCTCATTGCATACCCATATCAGGTTCCGATTCTCCTGGGTTTATACTTTTATGTCCATGATGATGCTAGAGCTGCATCCGAGCAGGAAAATGCAGACTGAAAGGAGCTTTTCTCTGCAAGTCGTGCCACTGGGAAAGGCCCCGGGGCCAGAGCAGCTCTCTCCTGATGGACATCAAGCGTTTAACTGTGCCTAAAAGCGTCATCTAAAAGCTCCCCCTGGTCAAGCTACGCTGCTGTTTCTCCAGCATCCCAAATCTTTGAAAGCACAAGCAAGTCTGCTGAGAGTCAAAAAGAGCGGCTCTTCTGTTGTGGCAATTCCCATGGCTGCCTGGATGCAACTGGCAGAGGCTAGCTATTAATCCCCATTTCCTGTGTTATTCCCTCTTCAGAGGGATTGAACGAAGAGTGTGCCTTCTGCCCAGAGCTGCCAGGCCGGGGGGACAGCTCAGGCCCCCTGAGGTCACATGAGTCGAGAACCAGCCAGCTCTCGCCCTCGCACTTGTCCCCAACCTCCAGACCCCGTGTCCCCCCCACTCCATTTGGCTGCCCTGGGCACCTGCCTGCGATCCGGGCTGGCCCGGCCGCCATCGGTGGGCTCAGCCCAGGAGCCTCGCGCGCTGCCGTAACGTCTTTACAAAACTCAAACCCATCGCTCTGTGGCAGAACTAAAGGATTGCCTTGGACAGCATCGCAGAAAGGAAGTGTTCCATATTTAAGTAGCATAGCAGGTGGTAGGAGGTGCTTTTTCGTTAATTAGTCTCATTTGCAGGTTATTTATGAAGCTAAAGCCTGTAAGTATCTGCTGCACAGAACTAATTTTTTATGGTTTTGAGGCTTTCAGTGCTTAAATGATCACACAGTTCCCCTTGCTAGCGTGTGAAAATACAGCTTATTTGCAGGGCAGGGCTCTGGATGGCACAAGCTGAAGCCCGGTTTGTTTTCTGCAGGACATCTGTGCACAACACCTCCTCCCTCACCATTGCCCGGTATTTTCTGAGTGTTAATGCAAGGAAAACGCAATCCTCGACGGCTGCTGTTCTGCATTCTAGGCAAAGCCGTACATAAATAACTCCCAGCATATGCTGTACAAATACAAGCCCACCATCATTAAAGTGGTTAGGTCTAGTGCCAAGATCAAGCCCAAAGAGCCCTCCAAGCCCACAGAATGCTAATGAGATGTTTTAAAAGCAGGTTGGAGCTCACGGCTAATGAGGATCAAAGCCCCGAAGGCACAAACACATTCCCAGCAGCTTGGGTGGAAGCAGCCAGCATCAGGCACAGAGACGATGCACGCAGGCACTTCGGTCAGCACCCTCCTGCGCGTGGCTGGGGTATGGGGAACGGTGTCCTGAGCCGCTTTGCTTTTTAAGGTTTAAAGCCCTGGGCAGTACAGACCAGGAATATAAAAGCATCATTTTAACATTAGTGGGGAAAAAAATAAAAAGACATTGTATTCTCTTCACGCGCTGATAATTTGCATTTTTTTTTCTTTTCCCACATCACACTCATTCTTTTCCTAACCAAAAGCACTGACTCTTCCAAAAGATCAAGATGGGTTTTTCCACGTCCTCCCCTGCGTTTGGGAGCAAGGGGCTGGAGAGCTGCTTCAGGGACGATGCTGGAGGCAGAAGCAGCTCCCGTTTCCTCTCCTGCCTGCCGATCCGCTCCGGTTCCTGCAGGGCAGACCTGAGGGCAGGCATACACACAGGGCATCGCTGCGCCAGCTGTACCCTTCTCGTCTGCCTGACATCAGAGAGCAGAAGAGCTTTAGAGCTCCGGTATTTCTGATTCCTTCAGTTTTCCTGAGGAATTTTAAGATGCTGCTCATTTGTTTGCTCTCACCAGCTACCGCAGGCTGTCAGAATGGGGTTCACTTGAAAGATTATTCATGAGTATTTAAAAATACAGCGACAGGAAGAACATCCAAAACGGGGCTGGGAGCACAAGTCTTATATTACTGCTTTGAGCAAATACGCAGTCTGTCTTTAATAACCTAGATTTGTTTCCTGCTGTGTTAAAATTGTGGTTATGGTTGGAAAAGGACCTGAAAACACGATCCCATGTCTTAGATCGCACGTCTGATTTACAGCTGAGAGTTTCAGCCCTGCGCAGTCATTCTTGATGCGTAAGACAGCCAGTTCCAAGGTCTGGCCTGCAGACACACGACCGTACCTTGATGCGATCAAATTTAACCCAATGGGAGTAAAATGCAATAATCAATTCCCCAGGGCTTTTTCAGAGTCACTTTTCAGATTGTAATTGATTTCTACGCCGAATGCCCTGGCTCAAAATTGCAGCTAATAAACTTTTAGTATAACGTGAAACGACAGCCCCCATGCAGAATCCACCTGAAACTCCCACCAGGGCTGAGCTGGGATCCAGGGCTGTCATGCTTGCTCTTCTGGCCATGTCTTCTCACACTTTGACGATTAATGGCCTCCAGACAGGGCGGTTTGTAACAAATGTGCTTGTGGATCAAGAATGCTAAAACTTCAGCTTCTCATAATGACCTTGTGCAAGGAGGAGGAAGTTCTCGGGATTTCTCTTTTCCCGAGGATAATTACGGCAATGGGTTCCCACTCCTAGATCGCAACGCCATCAGTGTTAGGTATCCCAGAGGCAACCAACACAGGAGAAAAGCAAAAATCGGTGGCAGTGGGGTCAGGGGGGGAGTTATCCCGAGATACGACCTTCAGAGAACAAAGTGCTATCCTGTGTTAACAAGGTACCAGTGCTGCTTTCTCCAAAGCAGCCTCTCGCCGGGCACAAATCCTGCAAACGGAGAACTGTGATGGGCAAACATGAAGTCAATTGTACCGTTTTTGTGTGCGTCAGTAGAAAGGAAATGGATTGGAGCCGTAAAAATCTCTTTACAAAGGGCTAAATTATTTCCTCGCTGGACGGGAATGAGAGGGATGTTTCAAAATGAGCCAGACTCCCAGAGACCAAAAGAATTTGGTCACCTGGAGCTCAAAAAGAGGTCGTTTGTCACCTGTGAGCGAAATCCTGATTCTGGTGTGGCAACTTGGCACATTCCTGCCCGACGCTGCAGAGGCACTCTGCAGAAATGCCTCCCAGTCTGCCTTTCCAGTGCCTGGCTGCCGAAGGCACGAGGGAAAAACTTTTGGACGCATCCAGGTTAAATTTGCCAAGTATTTATGACATCCAGAATCAGCGCATCAACACTGCTCTCCCAGCTCAGCCCGGTCCAGGCACTCCATGGCCACGCTCCGTGGACGCGGAGGCAGCCGCGGTGTGACATGGAATAGCAAATGCAATGGCACGTGCTGGAATTCGGAGACCTTTAAAGTCAGTGCTGCACTTGTTCACCCTCCAGTCTCCTGTGCAGTGTGATTTGTGGGAGTGCAGGAGCAGTGATGAGCTCGTTAATTAATGAATCTCGACACTTGGTGTTAGTGCGGTGCGGGTGCCTGCTCTGAATCGCGTTGCTGTGGTCTCTAAGGCTTCTCCCATTTGTCCAGCTGTTGAGAAGCTGGAGGGGCCCTCCTGGCTACAGCAGTGAGGTGCTCCCAGCGCTGCGGTACAGCACCTTTGTGGGGTATTTGTTTAAATTAGCCCCAGTGTACACCTGTGGAGGCCAGCTTCTTTCCAAATTATTCTTAGAGCCTACCACCCACTCTGCTCCTTCTCCACTACCTTGGGTGTCAGACTAAGCTGGTTTTTATCAACAGCTGGGCCTGTTGGCTTTTTCATTAGCAGGTGTGCTCAGTCCCACTTAGGAGCAGATTTGGGTCTCTTGTTTGGCAGTCAAATTGTTTGAGGGTTTTTTCCTTTATCAAAAGTTGCCCGAGAGGATGGCAAGATGACGCTCATCTCTGGAGGCCAGGGAGGTGCTCTGTGCAGCATGCGGCCAAGTTGGGGTTCGAAGTTGCCAACAGCAGCCACTGGCAAGAAGGAGTCAGGCTCCAGCTCGTGTGTTTTTGAAAGACCTATCCAGATATCAGTGCTGCAGGGAGTGCAGCGACCCAGACCTTTCCCTTCTCACGGGGTCTCGATAAGAAGGTGAAGGCTACACATAGTCAAATCCAGTGTGCCAGATGCCCGGGATTCCCTCATGGTATCTGGGCTCGTGTAATTGGGATTGTCCTGTCTGGATTAATAATATAATCTCTGAGAGAATACCCGGCATATGCTGATCCTGCCTTTCAGGCTGGTTTCCCTCTCCCTTTATGGGACATATCAAGCCAGCTGATGCTCATTTACCTTCATGAGATTCTGAGCTGCTTTAAACTCTCTGGGACTGCCTGTCATCTAAGCACCTTTAAAAGAGCAGCCCATAGGTAAAGCCAGAGAGCCGTAAATCTAGAGAGGCAGCAATGGAATTCCTTTGGCTCTTTCCATCTTTTCAGTGGGAATAAAAATAGGAACTCATAATGCAGTAGGTAGCCCTAGGTTTAATACACAGGCTTAATATTTAGCAGTCTTGTGGAGGGATTTTCCAGTTAAGAAACAAACCCACAAAATTATTTTCGACTCGGGAAGGTGACTCTTTCACATTAAAAACAGACTTAACATTGGTACCTGCCATGAGAACTCTGACAACACAAAACTCTTTGCTGACAAGATGGAAGTATCTGCATTTTTTTGCAGCACACAAGGATCCTAAAATGAGTGCTGCCTGCACTTTGTAAGTGCTGTTTAAAGAGCAGAATTGTAAGATGCCTTCTGAATACTAAAGCTTTCAGTTTGGTCGTGTTCCCCACCAGTCTCAGCTAGGAGCATAAACACCAGATAAGACCCTGCTGAGGTGGGCAAATCAGGCTGACTGGTGCTTTTGATGTGGGCTCACCTGCACTGTGGAAAAGAATACAGCCATCACCTGTCCTTGACTCTTGGTGAGGGATCGCAGGACATCGAGTGACAGGATATTTGTTGTTCCCTCCCATATGGACAGCACCTGTGGGGTAGAAGAGATGGTGGAAGCACATGAAGGAGCCTTTTGGAGCAACTGCAGTAAAGAAAGGGGGAAGACATGCGGCAGAGCTAAGGGATATCAAGGAAATCTCCAGAGACATCTTGCCTCACCGCAAGTGGAAAGGTGCAGTGGTGATGGCAGCGAGGAGCCCAGCTCCATTACTGAGCTAGGGAACAACCCCAGCACCATTACTGAGCTAGGGAACAACCCCAGCACCAGAACAGATCACATCCCCTCACTGGTGATGACTGGGCTCAGCTGGAAGGCAGCTAGAGAAGAGCTGGCATGCCTGGCACATGAGCCTGGGAGGACTGCATTTTCCCTTGAGCGCATCTTTAGCAGGCAACCACAGAGCACTGTGCAAGGGAGCAGGTGACAGGCAGGAGCTGCTCCTGCTTCTCCTGCTGCTTTCTTACCAGAGCATCGCGGACTATGACTGGCAAGCCTGTATCCTCCATGTAACCTTGTCCTCCAAAACTCTCCATTGCCTCGACAACAACGGCAGAAGCCTGCAAAATGCAGAGA